AAAGGACAAAAGAGAAACAAAAAGAAGAAAAAAGAAACAAAAAGGAAAGTTAGAAAAAAGATGAAAAGAAATAAAAAGAGATTTAAAAGAACTAAAAGGAGGGAAAGAATAAACAAGAAATGAAAAGAAAAGGAGAGAAATAAAAAAGATTAAAAACAAAAAGAGAAAAAAAATAAAAAATAAAAAGACAAACAGGGAAAGATAGAGAGACGCAAAAAGGACTCGATGTTTTATGACAAAATAAGAGAAAAGATAAAAACATTAAAAGATATAAAATGAATAAAAAAGAATTTAAAATAAGTAAAAAGATATAAAATAAATAAAATAAATAAAAAGATATACGATACAAAATGAATTAAAAGATATAAAATTAAAAAAAGATATGAAATAAATAAATAAATACAAAATAAATAAAAAGATATAAAAGAAATTAAAAGATATCACATAAATAAAAGGATATAAGAAAAATAAAAAGATAGAAAAGAAAAAAAAGGATATAAAATAAATAAAAAGATATAAAAGAAATGAAAGAAATAAAACGATACAAACAAAATAAAATAAATCAACAAAAATAAGACATTAAATAAATTAAAAAATGAGAAGATACAGAAGTCGTCAAAGAGGTAAAATGGTGTAAAAGAAATTAAATCCAAAAAAAAAGAAATTAAACAAATAAATAGAAGGAAAAGGAAAAAGATATATAAAAGAAATAAAAGAAATACAAAAGATGTAAAAGATATAAACGAAATTAAAAGGTGTAAAAGAAATAAAGTAAATTAAATTAATTTAGAGACGTAAAAGAAATAAAGAGAAACTAGAAAACTGAAAGAAAATTAAAAAAATAAAATGGGACAAAAAACAAAACCAAAAAACTAGAAAAAAGCAAAAAGACGAGGAGAGACTGGAGATAAAAGGGAAATGAAAAGAAATAAAAAAAAAATTAAAAAATAAAATATTTAATAAATGAAAAAGAAATGAAAGGAGAACAGAAAGAGTCAAAACAGAAACGAGAAAACATAAAAAGGAAATGAAAAAGAAACATAAAAACGAAAAAAATTAATATGAAACTAAAAAAGTAAAATGAAATAAAAGGAAATGAAAAAGAAACAAAAGGAGAACAAAAGGAACCAACAAAAAATAAAAAGAAATAGAAGAGAAATAAAAAAGAATCAAAAGAGAAATAGAAAAGAAATAAAAAGGAAGTAGAAAACACGAAAAGAGACAAAAAAGAAGAAGAGAAAAAGAAATGAAAATAAAATTAAAAATAAAATTAAAAAATGAAACGGAAAACAGAAAAGTCCAAAAGGCGTTAAAGGATAAAGGAAATCAAAGAGAAACAAAAAGAGATAAACAAATAAACAAAATAATAATTAACAAAAAAAGGAAATTAAAAAGGAGAAAACAAAAAGACAGAAGAAAAAAAAAGGACGAAGACGAAAAATAAAAACAAAAAAACAAAAATAAAAAAAGAAAAAATATTAAAATATTCAAAAGCGAAAAAGGGACACAAAGAGATATAAAAAGGAAAACAAAAGGCCCCAAAAGGCCAAAAGAGAAAAAAAATAAAAAGAGAAAAAGAGACAAAAGACAAAAGAAAAACAAAAAGCAAAAAGGCAAAAAGGGAGAAAAGGAGCAGCAAAAAGAGAAACAAGAAGAGTCAAAAAATAACAAAAGAAGAGCCAAAAACAGTTCAAAAATTGGAGAAAACAGGAAAAAAAATAAAAAGAGACGAAAATCAAAAAGAGAGAAAAGGAATTAAAAGGAGAAAAGGAAGAAAGTAAGAGACAAAATGAGACAAAAGAAGAGACAAAAAGGATTTGAAAAAAACAAAAAAGAGACAAAAAAGATAAAAAAAGCTAAAAAACTAAAAAAAGAGAAAATTAAAAAAAGAAAAAATAAAAAAAGAAAAAGATAAAAAGAAGAAAGCTGACCTCGCTGTGGAAATAAGAAATGGCAGTTCTTGTGGAAATTTGACAAGAAGAAAAAAGTGCTGCTTTAAATTCAAAAGGAACTCGGCAGAGACTGAGGTCATCGGGAGCTGTACGTACACCCAAACGCATGCATGCATGCATGCATGCATGCATGCATGCATGCAAGCATGCATGCAATGAGTTTTATTCTTTTTGCCTTTTATTTCTTTTTCTTTTCTCTTTTGAAAGGCTTTTTGCTTTTAATGCAGCTCTTTTCAACTCTTTTTAATTACAAAAGTCCTTTTTTGAGAAGAAAAGCATTTATTTCGCATGCATGCAAAGCCCCAAAAGTACAAGTCGAAATATATTGCATTTTATGTCAAAAAAAGAGAAAAAACTGCAGCTGAAGAAGCTGGAGATCCGCAGAGTCTAAATGCAAAAAAGAGTCAAAAATAGAAACAAAAAGAAACAAAAAGAAACAAAAAAAACAAAAAAAACAAAAAGAAATAAAAAGGGTCTTACTGAAGGAGGGGCCCCCCCCGGGGGCCCCCATGGGGGGCCCCCGGTCTCCCTGCGCAGCCCTGAGGCAGCTGCGGAGTCTTTCTTGAAATGTTAAAAGTTTTTTTTTGTCTTTTTCTTTTTTTGTTTCTCCAGGATCTCGAGAATTGGAAGAAACAAAAAGAGAAGAGTTCGCAAGTTGCTGCTCTGCTGCAGCAGCAAAAGCTGCGAGCTCAGCAGCAGAAAAGGGGCCCCCGGGGGCCCCCTCCGCCTGCCCTGCGCAGCAGCAGCAAAGACACAAAAAGGGTACTAAAAGGGGCCTTTTGCTGCTGCTGCTGCTGCTGCTGCTGCTGCTTTTGTCCCCTTTTGGGGCCCCCAATCTAGCTGCTGCTGCTGCTAAAAGGCCCCAAAAGAATATCCGGAAAATGGATTTAAATGGTATTTATTTCAAATCTTTTGCGAGTGTAATTCACAAAGATGAACAAACTTTTGTGTGGGCAAAAAAAATTAATTTTCTTCTTTTTTTTTCTTTTAAATTAATTTATTTTCAAATTCATTTAAATGCACTTTCGAGGACTTTCTCGATATTCAAATATATGCGCCCCAAGTTTATTTATATAAATATGTAAATATATTTATTCATAATAAATATTTATAATATGTAATATACATTTATATATATATGTATAAATTAAACATAGATAATGTACATTATATTTATAATATATAGCATATATATATCATTAAACACATATAATGGATTTTATAATTATAATACACAATATACATTTATTTATATATATATATAATATATAATAAACACAGCATATGACATGAAATAATACATAAATATATATTAAGTGAATACATATACACTAATAAATATCCGCAACACATATTATAAGACATGAATATATATAAAATGATTACAGATATTCCATAACATAAATACATACTACATATTTATAGTATCTTTGCAATGAAATATATAATATATATATAATATTCATACAATTCGATATTTATATATATACATACATTTATATAGAGTATTCATAAAATTCTAAATGTATATATATAAATATATCTTTATATACAATATTCATACAATTCAATATATATATACATATATATATGCATTTGCATATGACATTTTTACAATTCAATATATATATATATATAGACATTTATATATGATATTTATACAATGAAACAAAATGCATATGAATATATATACGGTATATATATATACACTTATATATAATATTTATACAATAAAATATAATATGTGCATGCAATTCTATATGTGATAATTATCCAATTAAATATAATACATAAAAATGAATATATTTTTATGAATATTTAATAATCAAAATATTGCAATAATAGTGTCAAGATTAATTCGCGGGAAAAACCTTTTAATTATGACATCAAATTAAACTGCGCCGGAATAATACTAAAATATATATATATATATTCATATTATATATTTATATATACATAAACATATAATTCATTTATGGATATATACATATTATAATCAACTTCTATAAATACATCTATATATATACATTTATATATGTAATTCATTTATAGATATAATATATATAATCAACATCTATAAATACATCTATATATATATATATATATATGTACATATACATATGTATATATGTAATTCATTTATATATATATATATAATCAGCTTCTATAAATTCATATATATATACATATATATATATATATACTTATAAAAATATAATTTATTCACATCTGCTTATATATATATATATGTGTACTAATTTATATATGTATATCAGCAACAATAAAATTGCATAAATAAATATATATATATATATATGTATGTATATATATATCTATTATATATACAAATATAGATATATATACAAGCATATATATGTATGTGGATATATGATATATATATGTATATATATGTTTACAAAGACTTATATATTTATATATTAATATAGAGTCAAGTGTGCTATAACAATATTAGACTATTTATATAATTGGTTTATACGCATAATTAATTTATATATAGAAAACCAATTAATATATACACATATAATAAAGATATACATAAAAGCATATATGATAAGAATATATTTATATATAATAACAAAGATGTACAAAAATATGATATAAATATATAAAATATCTTTGTATATAATAATAAATATATACAAAAATATGATATAAATATATAAAATATATTTATATACAATAACAGAGGTATATAAACATAAGATATAAATATTTAAAATATATTTAAATATAATGATAAAGATACATAAACATAAGATATAAATATATAAAATATATTTATATATTATAATAAAGATATATAAACATAAGATATAAAAATATAAAATATATATGCATATATTAATAAAGATATATAAGCATAAGTTATAAATATATAAAATATATTTATATATAATAGTAAAGATATATAAACATAAGATATAAATATATAACATATATTTATCTATAATAATAAAGATATATAAACATAAGATATAAATATATAAAATATATTTATATATAATAATAAAGATATATAAACATAAG